CCTCAAAAGCCCTGACGATATCACCTCGTTTGAAGATGAAACGTTTGGAAATAAATTTCCAAGCTCGGCGAACAGGCCAATTGGAATTAAGTTCACCCGAGTTACGAGAACCGATTATCAATACTTTGTCAACATTATCTTACTATCAAATGCCTCAGTAGTCAGATTGTAAACGTGAGAACTACACTTCACACAGTCGACGAAGATTGGTGTGACATATGCTGTGCATTAGAGCTGCGGGGCGAGTCGGGCTGAACCCAACGAGCTGCAGCTGTTTGCAAACCAATGAAATACACAGGCGAACAGTCGAACAAAGACTCATTAACCTTTACCAATGCTAGTAACATTCAATCCACTGTACTGGGTTGTATACCGTCGACGTATATCGGCTTGTTCAAACTTAACGTGTAAACAACATGGAATAAACGAACTAGTATAAACGAGCTGTGCAATGTAACAAAATTCATACTACGTGTAACACCAGACTACATAATCCGACTAGATGTGACTAAAATGGGCACGGTGTTCGTCAGCAAAAACGATGCATTAACTCCCCCTCAGTTTAAGCTCATATTTGGGTGATTTTCGTGTTTTCGTTTTCCCGCTTACTGTGAAGCTTTATACAGGACGGTTAGGATGCATTTGCGATTTTATATATATATAACCTTTGCGGATGCTGCTCACAGTAACCATGAGTTGAAAAAACAACTAAAACAGGAAATTTCTTCTTCTTACTGCAGGTAACCTTTTGTCCTCGTAGTTTTGGGACTGCAAACATGTAGAAATGCGTTCACTTTAATGATTTCGATTCAACGCCATGTCTCAAAACGTCTTCAGCCATCGACAACCTGAAGACAAAGGCTGGAACTCGAGAAGCACCGAAGGAAGCCAAATCGCTCTACACCACATCATAGCTTTCTCACCTCGCTATTTGTGGCAATCTGGTTGGATGTCCACGAATAACGCATGGTGGTGTAGAATTTATTCAGGATGTTCCCCAGCCACCTCAGAAGGTGCAGTGAATTGGTTTTGCTTAACGGAAGGCACGTCGTCTGATCTCATTGTTACTCACACTATACGCAGGTGATGCTACGGAGGCAATTAATTTGCCCGTTACGATCCGCTCGGAGAGGCCGAGTTTTGCAGGCGTACAATAAGACAAGTAGTGGTTCACCATACACACGTTTTCAATGAAAGGGTTATATTGCACAGAAGCCAGAAATGTCGCAGATCAGCAAACACCAACCTTGCCTTAATTACACGTTTTGATTATCGATATCGGACTTTACCTTGAATGGACGACTTTAAAAAAGTCTCCTTACTTTCTTGTTTCATGTATTGAATATACAAATGTACAGTCAACATTCAGGAAGGGGACAGCGGCCATACAAAGGCTGCCTGGGAAGATGGGTAGCGGTGGAGCGGTTCGAACCCGGGACTCCCAGGTCACACGTTGGTGACCTAACCACTTGGCCACCACAGCAGTGATAATCACAGAGGACTTTTTCTAGTGGTTTACAGTCTGTATAGGCCGATCACCCCCCCCCGGCCGACCGGATCGATGCCAAAATGTCAAATTCTATTAAAACTTCAAAGTTTTAGGTGTAACACACGCATGTCATCAGCCAATGTGTCAGTGAGCAAGCGAGGGCGTCAACATGTAAGCAGGTATGCAGGCAAGCGCAGGCGTTCTATGAAATCGGATTGCGGTCCACTAATCAATCAAAGCGAACAGTTAAGTAATAACATTTGACTGGTTGAGGGGAATCGATCTTGTGACAGAGTAAGTCGACACGAAGTGCGTGCGTATGTGGTAGCAGGAAGCATAGGGTCAATCAATTAATTAATCAATCAGACCATGTGCTTTTAACATGGCGATTAGCTGAACGCCACAACACGTGACAGTGTTTCCCATGAAAGTGGAGGGACTGAAAGCTAGCATCCGGAACTATAACCGAGCATGCAAACCTCTGACAGTTGACCGAGGTTGGTTGATGAAACACCCTAATTCCGAACCAGCCAAGAGGCATAGGGGCAATACCCATAGCACCATGGTTGTGGCAATGGTCACCAACTACACTGGGCACTGAACACTCAGAACGTTCCATCTAAAAGGAATATGGTCCAATGATTCAGACATCAACCGACTGCGATTTTCACGCACTGCCCAATGCGGATCAGGCTTGGCAGGCGAAGGTTTCGGTTGTGAGTTCCCAAAAGAAATTCACCTGGCCTGGGCAACCAAGAAGTATTCTGTCTATGAGCAAGTCATGGGCTGATTTTGTTATTTATTGGGTACAGTCTAGGATCGGATAAGTGTGAAATAGAGTAATGTAAAAAGATCCACTGCCTACTCGGCAAGAGCAGTGTTGTATGCTGCCGAGCGCGTCCCCAGGTCGCGGATAGGGGAACGGCCGCTAACTGGCGATCAACCGTGAATAACGTGGGTTTATTCTCACAGAATAGGCGATCACGGACGATCAGCGGCAGTGCCCGAGGATGTGGGCTTAAAACTTGGCAGGGGTTCTCTACACAAAACACTACATTTATTTTATAACAGTGCTGTGACGTGGCGAGTGTGCCGCCACTGAATACGCTTCACCTTCCGACTGACATCCCCATCAAACCCATTCGCGGAATTTCACCTGCGTCTTCCCGGGGACCCTGAGGCTGCGGCTTCCGGTCTTTCTGGTGTTGGCGTGGCTCTCAGTGAGAGAGCTGAAGCTGGATCTCAGTTGACAGTAGGCTATGCGCGGTGAGACATAAAGGCTCGTGCAAAGTAGTCGTCGCTCCGTAGCAGGAGATATGAATGCTAGAGTAGGCCGGTTGACTTCGACGGGGGCGCACCTGGGAGGTCCTTTCGGACAAACGGGGAACGGCTGTTGGCTTTGTGTTCCGACCACCGCCTTATCCTCGCCAGTGCGAACTTCAGACGTTCCAACTGCTGATACACCACTTTGCTTCCACCCTCCTCGAGTCAGCGACAAACGCAGATAGACCATATCGCGATAAGCCAAAAATGGCGGGGTTGCATACAAGACTGCCAATTGTATTGCAGCAGTCCCCTCGAATCCGATCACGCGTTAGTTTGCACCAAGCTATCCATGTGATTCGGTGGACGTCCTAAACGTACGACACAGCGGCAGTTAGATTGCGATAAGTTGTCTCAACCAGCATGCTTAGCCGTCTTTCTAGGTGAAAAGCTAAAATCAACCCCACCTGATAACATCAGTGAGCACTGGTCGCTTACAAAGAATGCTCTGCGTTCTGCCGGCTTAGTTAGTTGTGGTCTGACACGCTGTGTCGTGACACCCTGGATTTCCGTCCAGTCGCTGTGCCTTTTTGACGCACGTCGGTCATTTCCGATCCGCAGCGAGCATAACGTAACACGGCTTGTAATGAAACGTGAACGCAGAGCTCGCGAAATCTGGTGGTCTCAAATGAAATGCGCTGCCGGCATGGGAAATTGCCGTAAGCTATTCCATCTCATTCCAGTCACCGGTAGGAAAACTTTGGATGAGTGAAACGACCTATGAAGCAGACGGCTCGCTTATTCACATTTAACAGTGACGTTTTTAAAACTGGGCGGAGCACTTCAAACCACAGTTTAGCTGGTCACCAGCGTCAGCTTCTCACACAGCTATTCCGGCACGCGCAAAGCGCACTTGCTACATTCGATATGTGCTTTGTATCTTCAAAATGAAAAGTGATGCTGGAGGACTGGGTTTCGTCTACTCCTGCTCTGAAACTAAACGGACTGGAACTAGTTATGGTGAGTTGGTTTTCCTACTTAGGTAGTTGCGTGACTAATGACGGTAGCGCAGCAAAGGAGATAACCGCCCACGTTTCCAAGGCTCGAGCAGCATACACAAGACTGAAACACATTTGGCGTAGAGGCGACGTTTCAGAGTTGAAAGGCTGTGTATGTTGTGCTACCGTTCGTCTAGTTATGCTTTATGGTTGCGAGACCTTGAATTTGCGAGTAGAAGGTATCCACCGACCAATGCGTTGTCGATTATTGGAGTTTACGTAGTTTAGCCCGCGTGGGAAGCAGCGAACGGGTTAGTCATGTGGAGGTGAGCCATCGTGTGTTTGGGAGTCCTTCGGAGATAAACCTGACACCATACCGAATTCAGATTAGTAGACTTCGCTGGCTAGGGCTCGTATTGCATATGCCTAGCTGTAATCTGCCGCACCGGGCTAGAAGCACGTAGAGGTCAACAGATGACGTGGAAACGAGGTTAAAGAAATGCACAGAGCCATTAGGTAGAGTTCATGTCACGCGTTCTCCCACCCAAGTATGAGGACCAAAAGCCGACATCCGGGGATATAACCGGGTTGGCGGGGAGTTGGCCGAAAAAAACCCAGATTTCAAACCAAGATAAGGCGTACAAGCCACAC